TTTGTTAAACATTTATTTTATGTCACGAATCGTGTCACTCGCTCGCTCAAAATCAAGAATATAGTATCTGGTGTCTGGATAGGACTTGAGGTAACTCCTTAACATTGGATATACAACATTTACCAAATAATACTTCCCTGTTATGAAAGACAATATTAATTAAAAATAATAAATGTAATTAATGAGAGGTTTAAGTCAGATGAACAAACCTGGAGGTGGGTGAGAGAAACACTTAACAAAATAAGTTTGTATTTATTACCTCCAATCTTTCAACTCACCATTTATCTGGAGCATCGATAGTTCGTTTAACGGGATCTCAACCCAATCCGGTAGGTCCATGTTTAAGCTCCTTCTATATTTTCCATTCCTTCTTTGATTGGTCTCATTTGTTTTTGAGTTTAAGCCTGTCGTAATATCTTTCAGTCAATTCTTTGATCCTCTTAGCAATATTTTGCCAACCTTATTAAAATACGTGCTTGGCCTGTTCCTTAGTTCAATTTCTTTAATACATAGATTACAGAAAATATTTGTTATTTCGTTATCTCACATTGCGAACAGAACCTCTTCAGTCGCCTTAGACATTTTAAAAATATAGGGAACAAAAGAAAATAAGTATTTTCTAAATGTGTAAAAAAAAGCCCAAACTCATCCAGATCAATTCCACAACTTATAAAGTAATCCTATGCAATTTCAAGAAACGACAAATTATAAATAAACACCGACAACCAACATAATTTTCTCAACATTGCAATTTACAAATAAAAAAAAAATAAACGAGAGGTTTATGTGGTTCGGCCAATGAACTACATCCACGGAAGGCAAGCTACGAAAGTTTTATTAAGCAAATCTGTAAGATTACATAGCTACATACAACATGCTCTCAACTAAACAAGCTCCATACATAGCACTAAAAATTCCTCCATACTCTCACTAATAACAGGAACCGAAAACAGATTCATCTGGTACTCAAACTTGCAACAATCACAACTGCAGAATATCGAATGCAACCCGACAAACAAATAAACTCCAACATCTCTGTTTAGCTAAACTGCAAACTGCAATTTCTTCAATAATCAAGCTGTGCTTTATAAGTACTAACAAAAACATAACTTAAAAAATATGCCTTTCAGATGATTGAAGCAAATAAACCCCAACATCTGTTCCAGATGATTGAAGAAAACACAAGCCTACAACAAGAGAAATGAAAAAGCCTCCATATATGAGCTCTTTTATAGATGTTTTTCATCCTTGAAATGATCAAGGAACATAGCTGGCAAATATAAACTCCAACAACACTTTTGTATAGCTGTTTTTCTCGAATCAGTTAAAGGAACATGTCTGGCTTATATGCAATTCAAAGACTTGTGCTATTATATGCAACAATGCCAAAGTAACATTAACAAATTTCACCGCATTCTAACAATGCCAAACTTTCAGATGCTCTCAATCCGCAACAAACAAGTACTTAGTGAGTTCCTTAAACAGACAAAATGAGGATGACAATAACTACTACATCCCATAGAAAGGATGTCAACCCTCATTACATACCTAACGTCTAATTTTTTTTTTTAAAACCCCATTATACCAAACAAATCTTTCATATGACAACAGAGGCAACGATTACAGGGAGCCTGCAAAATTTCAGACGAAGGATCCCAGTAATACGAAGGATAAAAAATTTCAGACGAACGATCACGGGGAGCCTGCCCAACTACATCCCATAAATCATTTGATCCCAACAAACAACAATAACTACTACATCCCATAAATCATTTGATCCCAGTAATATGAAGGATCCCAGTAACACAAAGGATAAAAAAATTCTGCCCAGTAATAGTATTGCCCAACACATCCCGGTAATAGCGTTGCCCAACGCATCCCAGTAATAACATTTCCCAACTCACCATAATTCATGCAATCCCAGACAACGACACAAATAACATTTCTCTACAGGGAAGAGGAGATACCTACGCAAAATTCAAACAACTTTCGATCCACCAATCTAATGCAGACGGGAAATGGGAGAGCAGAGGGGTGCATGGGATTGAAGGGTTCGGACACAGACGGGATCGAGGAGCAGAGACGAGATCAGGGGACTCTAATCGCAGATCTAGGGCAACGACGGTGAGACGGGATCAAAGGGGGCGAGACGGGATCAAAGGGCTGCCGAGGAATAATCTATCCCTAAACGCGGAACACAAGGTAATAGGACCGGCGAATGATTCCGTGAAAAATAACATAAACCCTTACGCGCGTATTTTTACCGCAGGCGCGAACGCGTTTTTCAAACACCACCCCGGCGTTCCGAAAACGCCGAAAGTATGTTTAAGCTGCGCCAAACGGACCCTAAGTTAAGTTTTGCTGAAATGAGAATGATTAGGTGGATGAGTGGCTTAACACTTAGAGACAAAATGTGAAACAAATCTATCCCTTAAAGGGTTGGTGTAGCTCTAATGGTAGACAATATTAAAGAAAGTCATCTTAGATGATTTGGTCACATAAAACATCGGTCATCTAATGATCCGGTTAGGAGAGTAAATGTTTTAAATTCGACTTATGTTAAAAAAGTAGACTTGGGCCTCAAAAGACTGGGCATATTGTATGAAAAAATTATCTTAATTTTTTAGAATTAAATGAAAATATGACAATCAGAAGAGCACAATGGATAAAAAAGGATTTATGTAGCTAATCCCACTTAGTGGGATAAAGGCTTGTTGTTGTAATGTCTTAGTTAACTTTTGAACGCTAATGAACCTTCTTAACCAAAGCAATTGCTAAATGTTATAATCCTCCATAATTTTTTGTTAAAATTTGTTTTTTTTTAAAATTTTTAAGAATGCTTTTTGATTGTTCCTGTGTTTATGATGCACAATCAGCCTACACTCTATGTATTGCAGCTTTATAAACAAGCATAATTGGTTTAGCACTTGTGGTATCATGTTTATATACACCAATACTGACGCGGCTTAATGTCAGTTCTGCTGCTGCATCTTCTCATGTTGCACCCATAAATACTGGAAGCACAGATTGGTTAGGTAGTAGTGTACAAGGCTCCAAAGGAGGTTCACTGTCATCGGCTGCTGCACACGTCCCTTGGACTTCCTTGAGCAACAATTTTGGTAATTCTGCACCTGGATCTCCTGAAATATTATGTAGACCATGGGAAAGGGGGGATTTACTACGAAGGCTTGCTACATTTGAGCCTTCAAATTGGTTTGCAAAACCCAAGGTTTGCATCGAACTTTTTTCTATTTAACATGCAATTGTGTACATAAGTCACAATGTATTTGGTTTATGTTATCATGTAAATAAATTTGTAAAAAGCTTATGAAATTTTTTTTGTAAAAAGCGTAATTCAGATTTTTGTTTTTTGCTTTATGTTGTTTTTCTTGTTTAATCATTCTACTACATCTGAAGGATTGAGTTTGTACTTTCATGGCCTCGAATTATTTTGGCTTTTTTTTTTGTTAGAAGTAAAGTGAAGGAAATGAAATGAATTCCTTATAATTTTGGAGTTGAGAATGAATCTGTAGCCATTAGTTTGAGCTTTTCGTATTTTATTTTTCATTACGCTTTCATAGCCTTAATTGTTAATTCAAAGATGAGCTTGACTTACTATAAACTTTTCACGCTAAGATGTGCAACCTAAGTATTTTTGTTTTCCGTTTTGCTTTCCTAATGCTATTTTGTCATAGGATGCTGCTGCTAGGTCAAACTCTAAGATTCTGTTACAAACAGAGAAGAACTCCACCCTCCATCCATCCAGTTGATAGGCTTGCCCAATTGCGCTAAACGCTCTACCAAGCTGGTCTTCAGTTTTGTCATTTGATTGATTATGCTATGATTCAAGAACAGTAGTATTATTGAGAGCGCTGTTTTAAGGAGTAATGCTATTAAATTTCCCTTGGATGCACTAACTTCCTCCAGCTTTCAGGTTCAATTAGTTGCCTAGTTACCAACTTAAATAACATATCCTAGCAAATTCTGACTTTGTTTCCTTTCAGCTCTATAAATTTTCAAAACTTATAGTGGACGTAAGCTATGTTTTTTTTTTAACATAACATATCTATGCTCTTGTATAGATGCTTGAAAGCATAATGGGCTTTTGCATTTTATATAATTTTTGGATTATTGCCTAACAAAATACCTGCTACAAGTCTTACATTTGGGTTCATATGTAGTGTATATCTGGAGGTGATCTAGGCAAGCCACCCCAGATCTGATTGATATAATGCATTTGCATTAATTTGTACCAAAATTTCACTTTATGTTGTCCGCTTGCATCTCTGTGAACGATCAAGCAGTTATGCTATGCAAATCAACCCAAGGAATCAGGGTGATGTCAGGGTAGATTGTGGGGAGATTAGATGATATTTAAGTCATGATTGATATAAAATCGGTCAAATTCTGGTTCGCCTGACAATCTTGTAAGCACCCAAAAATGTTGATTGGTTTGCATTATAATTTGGCTTGATCCATACTCTCGAGTCCTCTCACATTTCAACTCGGTTGTGCCACCCCAGGAAGAAATTAGCCCATCAACTTGAAATTGTCTCATTGATAGTGCATCCATTACCAATACGGGCTGTAGAAGTTGTGTTTGGTTTCCATGCTTACTCGAGGCATTTATTTTTGGTTTATAACAACTCAACTTGAACCCAGGGAACAAACTTCAGTTGGCTCCTGCATATCAACAAATATAACTGACATAATGCAACAGTTCATGAATATAATTTATGCACATTACAACAATTATGAATATAGTCCTATGATCACTTTTTTGATTAAATTATGTCCATGGTTATTATCTTTTGGTGCTGCGGGCTCCGAAAATTCACGACCGGTCCCCATGATAACTCTGCATTTATTTTTATTTTGGAGAGAGCTTTGGAGGTTCGAATTTTCAGAAGGCAAATTGGATTGTAGAAAAGATATTACCCAGAGATTTCACCCTCATTTAGCGAAGATTTTTTGATATGGGGTTCGAGGTTTCCTGTAGGCACATGTCCCAATGGTTAATTACCTCTCCCGTTGTCGGGAGAGCACTTTTGATAAAGGCTTGTCACTAATAATTGAAAATATATAATATAATAACATAAGTATTAGGATTTAAATTGTAGAATTAACCACTCTAAGCTTGAAGCGAATGGTGTGGGAATTGAGACGAAACCCGATCAAGATTTCATGGTTCCGTCATCTTTGGTCGTTGTAGTCTCTGATCTACTTAGTCACAGGAGGTGGTCGACCCAAATTGACAGAATGATTCTTATCAGCAGTCATGAGTTGCGTCGTCCAAGAAATCATTGTAGATCTGGGTTGAATGTTTGTTTAAGTAGACAAATTCAAGTTAATCATGACTAATGAAAGACTTTGTGTCAATCAATTGTACTCTTATGATTCACAACTTGAAGGGAAAAACTGTTGGGAACAGACGGGCTACGATCGTGACCATAATATAAGTGTCATTTGGTGACAACCACTCGGTTAGACAACTCTTCGTAACTACTATTTTGTGGTGTCATTTGGTGGTAAAACTACGCGGGCAAAGTACTCAGACCACCTCCTTACTGCATGCAATTACTTTGATTGTGAATATATCAATACATTTGATATGACATTCACTCTTTGTGAGCTGAAGTCAATTAGAAAGTTGTCACTCTCGACAAAACTGTTGTGGAGAGTTGATGAAATTTGCTTTTAACTTTTCGTGATTGAATTTTGACTTTATTTTTAATTAATAATTGGAAAATTTTGATTTAAGATATTGACCCTTCAAGTTGAAATCTTCATTCAAAAAATCCATCATCTCGGATTTGAACACTTAAAGCTTTTATATTTAAAGGGGGAAATTTAGTTTTGTCAATTTAAGCTTTTCAAAGCATAAGTCCTGTCGACTCCTGTCCTTATACGTAAGAGGATCAAGATTAGGTGATTTGGACTTATAAATTCCTATTTTAGGATTTGGACATTTATTAGGGTTTACTAGATTTGTCAACTTCAGTTCTTGTGAGGACGAGGATTAGACTAATGGGGTGAGATTTATAATCATTTCCTATAGTCAAGACAATCTGATTAGTCCGTGCAACATTCTCGAATCTCATATTTGAACATTTTATACGTGGTTGGAGCACATGCTGGATTTTATATTTATGTATTTGAGCTAATTTAGCTGGAGCATTTAGTGCCTTAATGTATTTTAAGCTTTATAAAATACTATCTTCTATTCGCTAGCAAACACGTTGCAAATCTGGTGACGAAATAAAAAAAATTGATTGTTTGTTTTAGCATTTAAAAATAGCATTTATGTCTAAAATTTATCCTAATTAATGATATTTAATATTTAAGTTAAGCCTAGCCCCCAATTTGTAGAATTTGATATTTAATTTAAGTTCAGCCTTCCAATTTAGGACATTTCATATTTAATTTAATTTGATAGCCCCCTAAGCTTTGATCCAATCAAACTTATCCCCAATTTATGTTTTCAAATAGACCACACAAAGATTCATTTACATCAATATGTATATTTTATTTAATCATCTTCAAATTTGAACGAATTTGAAGCTAAGGAGAAGTCTATATATATTAATTGACGAGTCATTCAATTTTCCATTATTCTTATGCAAGTCTCAAGTGCATTTAATGTATCCCCTTGAAATGACTTCAACTATAGTTTAAGTATTATTTTGTATTTTGTAATATACTTTTTCTTTAAATTTTATGACACGTTTAAAGTCCAAAGAGTTCATATTTTATATTATTTACGAGTCCAATATTATCATAATTTTTGGCAGCCTCACGGCATCAATCGCCTATTTGGGGGCACGGGAGAATACTAACCTTCCCAACAATTATAAAAAATGAGCTGGTCAGTCTCGTGAGACACTGCGGCCGGGGAGCAAAGGTATAAATTTAACTCATGATCTTAAAAGACGCAACAGGGCATCAATGTACCTGCATAAAAAAATATTTTCCTTGTGGTACTTTGCTTTCCCCGAACGGTACTCACTTTCCCACGAACGGGTACTCACTTTCCCACGAACGGATGTTTAAAAGCCCAAAATTTAAAAAGTCTTCCAAATGAGTTCGTGTCTTTCCCCGAACGATACTTAATTTCTCCACAAACGGGTACTCGTGCTTCTTCGAGCGGATATTTCAAAAATGTCCCCACATTGTCCCAAAATATACCTTTTGAGCTCTGACCTCGATGATGGTGACGATGATCTTAAGTGGCAAGTGGTTTGACAGCCAAGCATTTTTCCTTCTCTCTATAAACCTATTTACTTTTAGACTAAGATCTGTAGGCCTGTCTAAATCAAATCTTTCAGGTACGGAGACTTTTGCTCCTTCCCAGATCATATCTCCAGTTTGATGAGTAAATGCACAAGTCTTTGATGGATTGTGTACATTGTGCTCCCATACTCAACGAACACAACACTGATGACAATGGATTTGTCTCCCACAGCAAACTTGTTAGTCTTTGCTGCAGAGCTTTCCGGAGCTATGACGTCAATGTAAGTAGATCCATCCCTTCCCTTCATAAACCTCAACCCATAAGGCTTCTCAATCTCAACCTCGTATTTCTCATATTTCTCTTCTTCCCTCCTCACGCCTCTCCGACTTTGATGGTTCAAATTATGTCGCTGGTCAAGAAACTCTAAGCACAAAAGCAACACAATTAATTGAATGTTATTTTCCCATGGCCATGGCTTTGGGATCGAAAAGGGCTGAGAACTAGGCATGGAATAAAAATGGGTCTTTATATCCTGCGCTTCGATCTTGGAAGAGGAGACAAACTGAGAAGATATTTCGTGAATGTGCCAAGCAAAACGGCAAGAAGAATATATAGAATGAAAAATTTCTGCTTTGGTTTTGGCTCCGGCTCAACTCAGGCAAACACGAGTGAAGACTTCGATACAGGGAGAAGAAGGTGAAGACTTAAGTGTCGAGCTATCCCGTCGTTGTCTTTCCCGGGCACAGGAGAAAGACGAAGTTCTTTGTTCCCCACGATCTTGTCGTTGCTTCTTCGGCTAGCCCTGCTCGCGATTGTTTCAAGGAATGAAGGTCTCTGTATGCTGCGATTCAACGGTTGTTTTCCTGGTTTCTCTAATTGAGATGAGAAATAGGGGAAAGGGAGGAGGGTGATTAGTGAAGCTGGACTTCCAGAACTGCCTCAAGGAGTTACCTCGTGGGGAACGAAAACTAGGAATTCCATATTAATCATTGGGAAAAGCTATGGTGCGGGATTAGTTAGGGTTATAATTTAAGTAATTTTTTTCTCTTTTTTATTTTATTTTAACCCTCAACAGGTGCAAAATGAAATTCTGTTGCTGTTGAAAAGGCCCGAAGTATTCCTAATCAAATTGACTCCCAGAATCTTCAATTGGCACCTGTAAATATGCACAAATATTGCCGGCATAAAACAAATATGCTTATTATATGAAGATATTATTACTGACTAGGCTTTAGTTAAACTTATTTCTGTTATATTTGTCTTGAGCGCAAGATGAAGTTTTTTTTTTGTGGGTTGGAAATACTTCGAAGTAATGTCCGTAGCTGAGAATCAAGCCAGAAAACTGACAATTCCTTGAAATTAATCTTGTTTCTGTTTTTGTTATAGATGAGCGTCTAATTAAAATTTATTTTGTCTGTCAGCTAACCAAATGCTCAAGTTCTTTTGTGTTTGTGTTGCTTGGTTTATTGTTTGATTTATAGGTTTCTGTAGCTTTCATAATGGTGAACTGGATCACTTCGAAGCAGGATTTCTTCTATTGCGAATTTGTTTATCTGCTTATGCAGTTATTCTTCTGCCAGTGGTTTCTATACTGTTATTGCAATTTTTAATTAAATTTAATAGCACGACGTCCAGTAACTACTATGTATCTGGAGTGTTGATAAAGAGAATGCACATGAACGGAGGTGTTTTCTTATACAAAATGATTGATATTTTCCAGTTTTATGTTTATTCCATTTCTTGCTTTACGTACTCCAGGGGTTGCCTTTATGTTAATTCTCTTATAGTTAAAAGACAAATCCTATTTCTAACTACGACTTTGAATTCTCAACTATCCTTTACTGATGAGTGGGAACCGTTTTTCTTTCAGCTTCTTTTCATTACATGTTTTTCTGTTTATTTGTATCACATATGATACACAAACTACCAATAATGATATAAGAGTTTATGATGAATATCTAATTCTTCATTTACATGTCACACAAAATGACACGGTAGTTTTCCCCAAAAAATTGGCGCGTGGAATTTTTACCCCTGCTCTCATTCGGCGGGAATTTTGCCCCCTTTCTGTTTTTATTTTCCGCCCATCCCTCTTCTATTTATATGTGATTTTATGCTTTAGGGTTTAGCTTATGTTATTTTCTGATTTTAGTTTGTAAGGACACTGCTGACATTCTGTTTTCCCGTCGAGGGCTGTATCCGACGGTTAGGTTGGTGCTCCGACTGTTTCCCTCTCCCGAGGTGGTGAATGTATATTCCTTCCTTTGCTGGCATCCTCCCTCCACGACTCATTGCCTTCTTCCTACACAGCACTTGCTGTGGCCATTGCTCCCCTGCATCATTTCCAACCTGCCCGTACTACTCCTTATTTCCCGACCATCCCTCCTCTATTTATCTGTGTTTTTATGCTTTAAGGTTTAGCTTATGTTATTTTCTGATTTTAGTTTGTGAGGACACCACCGGTGTCCTGTTTTCCTCTCGAGGGCTGTATCCGACAGTTTGGGTGGTGTTTTGACCGTATCCCTCTCCCAAGGTGGTGAATGTATCTTCCTTCCATTGCTCGCATCCTCCCTCCACAGCTCGTTGCCTTCTTTCTACGCAACACTTGCTGCGGCCACTGCTCCCCTACATCCCTTCTAGCCTGCTCGTACTACTCCCTATTCCCGCCTATCCCACAACTGTTGTTCTTCCTATGTCCGCTTAAGTGGTTGGAGTCCCCTCTCCTATGACCTTGTTGCAATCCCTCTCTCGTAACCTTGATGCCGTTCCTCCTTTCCCATAACATTGTCGTGCTTTCCTCCTTTCTTGAAACCTGTCTGTCCTCTTCCATAGCCTTCTCGTATTTTCCATCCTCTCCGTGATCATCTTGCTACAACTGCCATCCTAGTTGCACAGACCCCTCCTCATAGGCCTTGCTTCTCTATCCTTCACAACACCCTTGCCTATTAACCTTCCTGCCAAAACCATCAATTAGCCAACATCACAATCAATTCACCCTCCCTGCTGTCCAGCCTCAGCACCACCTCCGCATCCCATGCCCTAGTTGTGTTATTGTTGTTATTTTCCTATTTCAAGTGTCGTGTCTGTAACTTTTTTTTTTAATTCCAGAAATAATATTTCTTTTTTTATTTTTTTTCATTTGATTTGGGTTAAATCCGGTATCATTTTGTATCAGCGCTAGCTCGACCCTAGTCATATCCTAGGATTTCCTAGCATCCCCTCGTACCCAAGCCACCCCTATCAAAATTTTTTCCTTCCGATTTCCAATTTCCGATTTCCAAATCTCCAACAAGAATTTAACCTTACCCTAATTAACTCCTTGCTGATTTTCAAAATCAGAAATACGAAATTAAGTTTTCACACCGTTAATGAGTCTTCTAGACCCTCTTTCACGTCCCAATCTTAAACCCTAGCCATGCACCACCAGCAAGATATATGCCCGAGCCTTCCTAAGAGGAGATACAAAGAGAGATTCAGGGACTTCAACAGTGGATTATGGGCATGAAAGATGATATCCTATAGGAGGCTTCCCTCGACTGTGATCCGAAAGGTCGAAGGGGGAACAAGAAGATATGAAGATGAAGCGGGAAACCCAACGACAGTTACTCTCAGCTTACTACCATAGAAAGTTGTAGACTCTAGCTTCTGAAGTGGAGAGACCTTAGCATTAAGCGACCCCCCTGATTACTATCCAACGAAATCAATCTGCAAGTCTGTCAAAACCAGAAAGATCGAAGGGGGAACAAGAAGATATGAAGATGAAGCGGGAAATACTACGCCAGTTGCTCTCAACTTACTACCTTAAAAAGTTGTAGACTCTAGCTTCCGAAGTGGAGAGATCGTAGCATCAAGCAACCCCCCTGATTGCTATCCAACGAAAACAATTTGCAAGTTTGTCAAAACCATAAAATCTTGAAAGGGCCACGAATTTGGATATGGTGAAGCAGAATGCAGAACTGTAGGAGTGATCTACTTCACCGAGCAGGGTGTCATCGAAAAGTTGGGTAAAGATACTGCAGTCACTTAAGATGGTGATGACATAAATGAGGAGAACCCGCTTCCAATTGAGAAGGACAAGATACACTTAGTCCTAGCTGAGCTCGTGGAAGAGACTCCAACCGAATTCATTGTAAGTGGATTCAATTACGAGTTTGAGGAGTCGAAATCAGACATAGGGCCCCCACATACAAGAGCAAGACATGTACTTTAGATCTATGTACGCCTTTTCTAAGTTGTCCCTACTGTGTGAGGTCCAAAATGTCCAAAAAGGAGTCATTATGTCCCATGCCTACAGTTAGTACAGATTTTAGAGTTAGCTCATGTGGGCACCCATCAACAGATTTCCAGACTGGTGGGTTGAACCTCAGAAATGTGCACTAGGAGCCTAAGGGGAATGAAAATTCTTCAATGGAACCCGGGTCTTGTCATTGAAGAAGATGTCTCTCCTACGTGGTCGCTAGTGAGAGTGGCACAACCCGCCACAGATATCATCACAAAATTGAGTTCTCCTCACATACTTGTTACTCAACCACCGCATGTTGGGCATGAGAAGTGGAAGGATGAGATTTTACCACCTCTATATGCAGCTCCCGCTCAAGATCAACCTGTCAGGATGACTACCTATTCTACTAGAAGGTGTTGTGGAATGACAATACTGGCATGATCAGCCTACCAGAAGGCTTGACGCTGTACCATGAGGATTCAGGAGCTTTGAAGAATGAGGTCGAAGCTCCCACAACCCCGGAAGAATGACATAGGGGGTTTTCCTCCAAAGGCTTAACCTAGTTGGCCTGAACCGGTTCAGTTGAGAGAGAGGACTGAACCAGCCCCCCTCTTCTATTTATATTTGTTTTTATGCCATAGAGTTTGTGAGGACAGCTGCCGACGTCCTGTTTTCCCTTCGACGTTTGTATCCCGCTGTTAGGATGGTGCTCCGGCTGTATCACTCTCCCAAGTTGATGAATGTATCTTCCTTTCTTTGCTTGCATACTCTCTCTCCGGCTCACTGTCTTCTTCCTGCGCAGCACTTGCTGTGACCGCTGCTCCCCTGCATCCCTTCCCGCCAGCCCATGCCACTCCCTATTCCCGTTTATCTCACAACTGTTGTTCCTTCCTTTGCCCGCTTAATTGCTGCAGCCCCCTCTCCCATGACCTGGCCGCAGGCCCTCTCCCATAATCTTGATGCCATTCCTCCCCTTCTCCCGTAACCTAGCTGCCCTCTCCCGTAACCTTCCCGTGGTTTCCATCCTCTCCCGTGATCACCTTGCAACTTTCTTCCTAACTGCATAGGCCAACCCCAAACCCCACAAAACCCTTCCCATCCTCTCCCGTGATCACCTTGCTACAACTTTCTTCCTAACTGCATAGGCCAACCCTACACCCCACAAAACCCCCACCCCCCCTCTTACCCTTCCTGCCACCCTTTACTGTCACCCCTTCCCACCACAACCATCAATTAGCCAGCATCACAATCAATCCACCCTCTCTGTTGTCCATCCTCGGTGCCACCTCCGCCACCCATGCCTAGTTGTGTTCATGCTGTTATTTTCCTTTTTCAAGTGTCGTGTCTGTAACAAATTTTTTTTTTATTTCAACAATAATATTTTTATTTTTCGTTTAGTTTGGGTTAAATACAGTATCACGGGATGCAAGATTTATTTTCAGACACTAGCTTCTCTACTATATCTTTTTTTTTTCCCCTATGTAATGCATTTAATCACCATATCTTATCTCTTGTGCTAAAACATGTGCATATTTTATTCATTCTTTTGATTGTAACTATTATAACACAACCTGCAGGGCGCAAGTTCTCTTTCCTGTGCTCGAAGGGGTTGGGTTAACGTTGGCCATGGCAAAATCGAATGTGAAGTATGTGGCTCATGCCTGACATTCACAAAATCAGCCTCGCAGACACATGATGGAGGTTATAATCTTGATTTTGCTTCTTTTTTTTGTTTAGCAGTTTATTATTTCTTCTTTTTAGTGATATATATTGATAGATAGATATGTTAAGATTATAGGAAATGGTAATGCATTTAAAAGTGGCTTGAATTTGTAATGACATGAAATGAAGATTTGGAGAGCCATGCTTGACTAGCTGGAGAATGGTTAGTTTTTCCATGCAAAAGAAATTGATTTAGTTTTCAATTCTTATACTTCTTTTTTTTCAGAGTCGGCTAAGCAAAGCTCACTTTATCAAATTCTACAAATTATGTTGGCCATATATTTTGATAGCCATACATTACTCATCAGACATATAAATGGGCTTGCACACATAGTCAACTGACCCTAATTTTTCAATGCTGATGCCGAAATATGTATTCAGGCACAGAAAAGTAACGAATAGGAGGGAGTTGTTTTAATTGAAATTTGTATGGTATGTAGAAGTTTTAAGTGCTTAGCTCTTTAGATCGTCTTTGTTGCTTAACCTTTCTAAATAATTAAATAAATTTTTATTAATTTTAAGGCTCCATATTGTAAAACTTTACTCGTTTCACCAAAGCAATTATTTTGTTCTTCTTTGAACCAATGTTCCTTTTATTGCAAATCATAGTCATTTTTAAAGATTTATTATGATGCAATATAATTATTAAACAACTGTTTTAAATTTTAGCATATTATGAATATGTTTTTTATCTACTATAAATAACATCGTTCTCTTTCATTTCCAATCGTAGTTTGTTGTAGGGAAGTATTCAAGTTTCTAGTCTATTACTGGAGTGCTAGCACTGTATTAGAGATTATTATATAATGAATTCAGATTTGAAATTTTTTGTAGCCTCTCCTTTGAGAATCTTCCTCTTCAGATTTTTACTTGTTTCTTTCTTTCTAAACTTTTCCTCTGTCCTATTGGGGCACTGTTCTCTATTTTATTTGTCCATTTCTTCTCTTTATCTCATTAGTTCTCTTATATTGGCAAACAAGTTAGTCTATGAAACTAATATTAGGATATGAACTTCAAATATAGGTACTCTTACTAGTAAATTAATGAAATTCGTAAATATTATAGTTTATAGGAAGATAAATATCTTATGCATTCAAGAAGTTAAATGGATTGGATAAAATGCTAAGGAGATTGATTCCTTAGGTTTTAAACTTAGTATTCAGACATAAGTCATATTAGAACTGATATTCATATTAGAACTGATATAGATGTAATTATTGATAAGAGTTTGAAAGATAATGTTGTAAAAATTAATAGTATTTGAGATAGAATTGTAGCTCTAAAGCCTATCGTTGATACAAAGATTTTTAATGTTATAAGTTCTTGTGTTTCCCAAGTAGGTTTTGATATATATTCGAAGAAAAGTTTTGGAATGATTTAGAAAAAATAATACAAAGGATATCTTTTGAAGAAAATTTTTATTAGAGGGCATTTAAATGGACATGTTGGTAGAGTGATAGGAAGTTTTAGAAACATTCGTGGTGGCTATGATTTTGGAGTGACTAATCAAGAAAGTAGAGTCGTTAGATTTTGCCTTAACTTATGATTTTATTATTGCTAATGTTATTTTTAAAAAAAAAGTTGATCATATTATCACTTCTAAGAATAAATCTAATAAAACACAAATTGATTATGTTCTTATGTATAAAATAAATTCTGGAGATTGTCATGATTGTAATGTTATTCAAAATAAAAATTTAAGTAATCAAGATCGATTTATGGTCTACCGCTTCCTATCTTGTCACTTTTAACTTCATCACCTATATATGTATAATTTTGCCACCTTCAACCTCGTCATTGCTAGCTAGACTCTCCACCCAAGTCACCATTGGCCAGATTGTACACTTGAGCTCGTCACCTGCGACTTGCCGCCTCCATTGGAACCGGCGAGCCATCATTTAGGGGAGCTTGGTCAAAGAAGGCAAACCACTCTACAGGCTGCTGGAGGGTACCAGTGAAGGTAGGTTGCTGCTGGAAGGGAACTGGAAGGGGGAAGCAAGGTCGACGACTGACAGGATGGGTTCGAAGTGACAGGCAGTGATTGGAAGGCGTTGGAGATGGCAAGCGGGCTACACGAAGGTAGTTGGTTGCAGGGCCGAAGGGAGGTAGTTACCACCTTGGGTGAGGTACAAGCCAAAGCACCGCTCATTGTCACATACAACGCTTAGGAGGGATAAGGCTTAGAGGCAAATCTCAAACCAAAAATCACCACCAAAAAAACTGACCAGGCCTAAGAGAAAAAACATGCATAAAAAGGGAAAGAAGAGAGACAACAAAGAGAAGATCCTAGGAACGAAAGGAGGTGAAAAATGGAAGAGAGAATCAAGCAACAACTAGGAGTTGCGTGCAATAGGTAGGAGCGGCGGAGGAATTGGGCACGATAGAATATCGAGCAAAGAAGGAAATAGGGCACTAGAGAGGAAGCCTGGCTGAAGTAGAATTGGACCGGTCCAGCCCTTCCTTTTCCGGTCTGGAGGGCTTAACAACCCCGCGTCAAATGTGTTTGAAGAATCAAAAAGAAAAGCATTTACGAATAAAAATAGCTGTTGGTGGAATAATTTAATACAATATAAAAAATAAGAAAGTTTTGGGTCTGTGCTGGATCAATTTTTTTTTAAAAATTTTTGTTTTTGAAAACAAAAAACAAAAAACAAAAAACAAACAAATAAAATATTGTTTGTTTGTCAATTTTTTCATCTGTTTTTTAATTTATTTTCAAACACAAATGGGTTGTTTTTAAAACACAGAAATAGGAAACATGTTTTCTATGTTTTGAAAATAGCCAAAAAAACGTTGAATCCTAAATTTGAGCAAATCCTGATCCTCTTCCTCCATTCGTTGCTTGGTCCGTGTACCTATTAATAAAATACTTAATTAAACTAATAATCATTTAATTGAATCATTAACTATTTAAATGATACCTAATGAATTTAATTAACTCAATTTAATAATAAATCTTAATAATTAATCAATTAAATCCATAATAATTCAAATTAAATATTAATCATTTATTTAAGTTAATAATAATAAAATTAAAACCATAAATTATTTAAACATATCATTAAATATATAAATAATTAAATTAAACATTTTAAACTTAATTAAAATACTAATTAATGAATTAATTAAATATTTAAATTAATAATCATCTAGTTAAATCATTAATTATTTAAATGGAACCTAAATGAATTTAATTAACTCATAATTACTTAATTTAATAATAAATCTACTTAATTAACTTAATAATTAATCAATTTTAACCCCTCATAACAATTCAAATAAAACATTAATCATTTAATCAAGTTAATAATAATAAAATTAAAACCTTGAATTTTTAAACATATCATTAAATATATAAATAATTAAATTAATAATTAAGAAACTTAATTAAAATACTAATTAATGAATTAATTAAATTAATTGAAATTTTGATTAATCCATAAAATTCACCAAAAATTAATATTTCAACATTTTGATTAATAAAATGATTTTTTAATTAGTTAATTTCAATAATTCACCAAAAAAGTAATTAACATGTCAGTAATTAAATAATTAAATTAATAAAATTGTTAGTAGTTATTAATTAAATAATTTCTATTAATTAACATGTTAGTTGTTATTACAATTTAATTAATTTTTTAAAAATTAAAGTTTTTTCCTTTAAAAAAATAGAAAATACCAAACCAAAATTGTTTATATTTTTTGTTTTTAAAAACATATAAATCATACCAATACTGAACGCATTTTTCAAAAACAGAAAACAAAAAAACAAAACCAAAATAAATTAGACTGAAAACAAAAATAAAAAATAGGAAACAAAAAATGATCCCAAACAGGGCTTTTATTTTAAAATTTTGTTTAGTAGGAAAATTTTGGAGAATCTAAGAAAATAATCTGTGGCGTTAAAAATTTTATATTTTAATGATTTTTATAATAGATTATATACTAAGAAGCGTTAAAGATATAAACTAGCTAAGCGAAGAGATAAGTAAAAATTAAATTTAAATAGAATCTATTAAATATAGATTTTTTTTTTGTAAAGTTAAAATTTTTTAATATAGGTGAATTAAATATTTTGATAAAATTTTTAATGAAGATTATGAAAATACGATTGACTTTTACAATCTTAATATCGCAAGTTATAATAAATTATTTTTTGCTATATTAGTAAAGTAAAAGTTGAGCATGCTTTAAAAATATGAAGTGGAAAAACTGGAAGTCTTGATGATATTTTAATTGAAATGAATAAATGTTTAGTAGATCTGAGAATTTCTTGGCTGACTAAATCTTTTAAAGTTATTGTAGAAATTATAATTGTTTCGTGAGTGGGGAAAGGGTTTATTGATTCTCTTTTTTAAGAATAAAGAGAATGCACATGAGTGTGCAATTTATAGAGGAGTTAAGTTAATTTTTCATATAGTAATGTTATGGGAGAGAACAATTGAACATAGGTTATGGCATTATACAAAAATTTTTCAAAATCTATTTGAATTCATGCTAGACAAATCTACTATGGAAGCTATATATTTATTGAGAGGTTTGATGGAGAAGTATAGAGAGAGTAAGGAGGATCTACATATTATTTTTCTTGCTTTAGAAAAAGCTTATGACAAAGTTCCAAGAGAAGTATTTTGGAGAGTTCTAGAAAAGAAAGATATTGATATTGCTTATATTCAAGTTATTAAAAATACGTGTATTAGAGTTATTACTTGTGTTTGAACACTAGTTCGATTTGCCAAGTATTTTTTTATTTCAATTGGATTACAACAGGGATTGACTTTAAGCTCATATCCTTTTGCTTTAGTTATAGATGTTCTTACTGGACATTTACAGGAGTATGTACATAGGTGTATTCTTTTAGCTGATGATATTGAGAGAGAGAGAGTTTAGGGGAAAAAAATGATTTATGGTGGTCAATTTTAGAATATAAAGGCTCTCATGTGAGTAAATCTAAAATTGAATACATGGAATGTAATCTTAATTGTAGTAGATCTAGTGGTGAGGTTGTAATAATTGGTGTTTAAATCATTAAAAGGAGTGAACATTTTAGATATCTCGGGTCTATTGTTCAAAGTGATGGTGATATAGAAGGGGATGTTATTAGGGGTGAAAATGAGTCGAACATGAGTGAGCCCAAGCTCAATTCGTGCTCGACTGATTTATATTTCGAGCTCAAAAAGTGTGTTGGTGTTCGACTTGTTTGCTTAGCGAGCCGAACACGAGGTGTTCACGGATAAAAAGTCGTTTTGACAAACCTAATCACGTAGCCATAAGATCTTAAAGGTTGGGGGCAAGATTGGAAATTATTGTTTATATTAAAACATCATTTAAATCTAATTTAATAATTTTATTCTATTTTCTTAATTAATACTTTGCATTGATTTTAAATCTTTGTAGTCTTGTATTCAATTAATTTTTTTAAAAAATACTACTCATATATATATATATATATATGTATGTATATATACATATATATATATATATATATATATTGATGAGTAGTTTTTTGATCCAAAAATGAGCCGAACACGAACAAACGTATCTTTGTTTGTGTTTAGCTCGTTAATTTAGCGAACGAGCCGAACACGAGCTGTTCGCGAACAACGAACCGGTTTGACAACCGTTTTGACAGCCCTAGATGTTATTAGTAGAATTCAAGTTGGATGGTTGAAGTGGATGAATGCATCGGGCCTATTATGTTATAGGAACGTACCTCTAAGACCTGAAGGGAAATTTTATAAGATGTTGGTGAGACATGCAATGCTTTATGGCGCAGAATGTTGACCGGTAAAAGAGAAGCATAAAATTAATCCAATTATTGTTGAGATGAGGCAGATGAGTGGTTTTACACTTAGAGACAAACTGCAAATGAATATATCCGTGAAAGGGTTGGAGTACCTCTAATGACAGACAAGATTATATAGAGTTGCCTTAGATGGTTTGGTCATTTTAAATGTCGTCCATTTGATGACCCTCTTAGGAGAGTAGATGTTTTAGATTTGACTTATGTTAAGAAAGGTAGTGGTATACATAGAAAGAATTGGGCATGTTGTATAACATAAACTTAATTCATTAGAATTAAATGAAAATATGACACTCAATAGGACATAATTGAGAAAAAGGAGTCATGTAGAAGACCCCAATTAATGCGATAAAGCCCCGTCATGTCAAAATTTGGTGTATAAACCCAACTTCGACTCCATCCGTCTCAATTTTTTTTTTTTTTTTTTGCTCTGATATCTTATCTCTCGTAGATTTCATAATGTTGTGATATCAATTCCACCAACTTGCTTCTTGGCACATTCTTGTTCGCTGCAACGACAACTTATTACGACATTTGTGCAACTCCATATAACTTCCATTTGTGCCATTCCAACTCAGTTCCAACTCAGTTTTGCAACTCAAACTGTCATTATGGCCTTGGACTCATCATGTCATGTACATTATGCAGTTTCCTACTCCATCCTTTTGTTACCACGACTACAGTGCATACCCTTGCTTGCTTGGATACTCTCGTCGATTACATCAGTTTGCCTTGCAAGGCCGCAAGTCATGATCAAAAGCAAACTCTACTTTTTTGTAGATCACGTGCTCCCTTTCAACCCTTGTATACCTCAAGTCTTTGCTTTCTAGATTGAAATCTGTGTTCCTCCACTCGTTTGGCAACCATCAGTTGCACTTGCCGTTCGCTTCCGTTTTAGGTTGGTTTGACCTGCTCTCATTTTTATGCATCTCCCATTTTAATGCATTTCCCAAAATTCTCACGATTCTTTGTTTGGGCTTCTCGTAGCCACATTTGTCTCCATCTCACATCTGCAGCATTCTAATACTAGACCTACATAGTGCATACTCAAATTGCTACAACTCCACACTACATTAAAAAAATCAGCTTCAGCTTTAGCGAATAATTTTAATTAAATGAAGTTGGTCAAACAAGCATCAATTAGGTCCTGTAAGTTTGCATATTTCCTTCTAAATTTGATCATGATTTGAGAATGGGTGAAGAGAATCTTTTATTGAGGTTGTTGAAATAGTTATGCTCATCCCCTTTGTCTCTTCCTCAAAGAGACGGCTTTCTCTTTCATTGCTGCCTTTCTAGGGGAACTTTATATTCAACTCTCTTTTGGGAAAAAATTGAATAGCTGTACATTTTAGTTGAAAACCTTTATAATCATCTCCTGTCAACATCACTTTAAATCTCTAGAGCAGAGTTCTTTGTGGCCTTGGAGAGTTGGTGCACATAGTTATTTAGTAAATGCCTTAAAATTTAAGTTGATTTAAACTGTAATTTGTATATAGTAAAGAAAGTGTTGCTTTTCTTTATTTCTCATCATAACGTACTTTAGGCAAGTATTTTAGTTCTGAGTCTATAAAATGAGTGTGAGTCTTCTATTAGTGATCGTACAATGATCTGAGACTTGAAAATTTTTGGCCTTTCCTATTAGGTTTCTATTTTCTTTCTTGTTTTTATTCCTTTGCCCATCTTGAGGCATTCACTTGTCAAATTTCTTTAACCACTACACTGGTTATGTTCATATATTGGATTTCTCTAACGCTGAACAGTTCTCTTCATTATCACATTATTTTAACTTTAATTTATCTAGACACCTATAATTTTGGGAACACAACAACAAAACCCTTTTAGTTTGTTATTTTTGCAAATCATCTTAAATATTTACTTAATATAAACAAGAACGTTGTTGTGAAACCTAGATATGGTCACGTAATTATAACAATTGAAGTCTGAATCGCAAAAAAAAAAAAAAAAAAAAAAAAAAATTTTTTGACCTAAAGAATCAGAATTATGTAAGTTGGTAAAGTACAACTTTAGATCTCCTAGCTGATGAACCAACTTAATCATTTGTATCTCGATTTGTTACGTTTGTGTGAAATTTTGCGGCCTCTAACTTGCGGGTCCTAATTGATATTTTGCTATCCAGGTCAACAAACTAGCTTTGTAGCCCTATTATTTTATATGCATCCATTTCAAAACAAGAAAATACTTATAATTCAGTTTGTGACTCCATTAATCCTTTAGAATACTGACACTGCTATCTCTAAAACTAATTGTAATAATTAATTAATTAATTGACAGACTACATATTGCTTAGTAAAGGCCATTTATGGAATTAAAGATCTATATTTATTTACCTTCTTAAAAAAATATAAATTTATTTCTCATTTTACATCCTCATCTCACTTTTTGGCTCATTTTAAAGAAGGGCCATTGCTAATTCTCTAACAATTTTTTTGTGGATCTCACTTAATCACGAACGTGACTAGACTATTTTCAGGCTTGCATTTAGACTGTTATGATCTATTTACTAAAATTTTTAAAAATTTTCTTTCATCTGATAAAGTAAAATGTTGTTGGATGAAAATTTCCAAATAATACACTTTGAACTTCATGTTGTCGACGAGTGCAAGGCATGGAGAGAGTACTGTTTCAAAAAAAATTTTGTATGGATTATACTGCAAATTACTAGTTAATCTTTATGGCAGTTCGGGTTTGTTTTTTTTAAGAGAATTAATTGATTTTGTTTGTCAGTTGTAGTTTCTCTCTGGATTTAATTAGCAGTATGATTATATCACTTCTAATTTTCTATTTTAATTTCAACTGTTTCAATAATCATTCCATTATTCAAGGATTTTGGACTTTATTTAAATCCACTTCTAATCCTTGTTCATCTTTGCATTTTACTAAAATAGCTTGGAATAGCCAACAATGATGGTGATGATGATTATGATTTGTCTTTTGCATTTTTCTTTTACAACTCCTAAATTGAGCATGAAGCTAGCTGTTCTTTTGCCATAGTATTCAGCAAACATGAATGATTTCAAAGTTTTTGTGCTGTTGTGAATGCGTGATGGAATTCTTTTTTTTCAGTTAGCCCTACAGAATGGCCTGTTTTCATTGCTGCTTATTTCATGTTTGTTTTATTCTAGTTGATCATGCTGTACAAGCCTTTGCTGAGAAGCTTGATTCTGGCCACAAAGTCACATGTCCTTGGAAAGGAAATTGCTGTGCTGACAGTCTGGTGCAGTTTCCTCCAACTCCTGCATCAGCGCTTATTGGGAGTTTCAAGGACCGCTGTGATGAACTTTTGCAATTTCCCTGTCTGCCTGTAATAGCTTCTTCTGCAATTGAGTTCATGAAACTGTCAAGATGTGCACAGATCGAGCGCATCCTATCACAGTCTTTATTTTCATCTGGAGAGATAGGATTTAAAACCAATACCATGCCTATACATGAAATATCTCGAGAGGATCCCTTCTTTCATCATACTCAGGCATGATCATTTTTCCTTGATTTGGATGATTATTGATTTGTTGATATTGAATTTCAACAACAATGAGTTTCTAGTTTTCATTTTCTTTATGTAAATTTTGAATAGGCCCAGAAGCTTATCAGCCTTTGCGGTTGGGAGCCTAGATGGCTTCCAAATGTGCAAGATTTTGAAGAGTATTCTGCTCAGTCTGCTAGAAATGCATGCTCATTTGGTCCTAATGAAGATAGATATCCCTATACACGATTTCCTGAACTTTCGAAACACGCACTTTCTGCATCAGCTGAACAGAAACGAGGAAAGGAAAAGCTAGTTGAAGAATCATGGTGCGATATGAGATATCCTTTATTAGATTGTAGCTTATGTGGAGCCACCGTCAGAGTTATGGACTTCCTAACAATTCTCCGGCAGGCTCGTCCTGACCCAAATAACATTATTAATTTAGATAATTGCAAAAAATTAGGCCCAATACATGGAACCAGTGCTGCTAGTGGAATTAATGGGGGCCTTGGTGTAGGTGAAATGGACAAGGAAGAAATGGAAGACCACGACGAAGCTGCTACTACTGATGAGAAGAAGTTAGCTTCAAATGTTGTTGTGAATTTGAATCTTAAAATTGCTAAAGGGTTCCCGTCTACCTTGCCTGCAGAGGGTGATCCTTTAGATGATAGCCGTATGGGTAGAGATCTTACAATTGGTCAGCCTGCAGAAAGTGAGGTTGGTGATCGTGCGGCTTCATTCGAGTCAAGGGGTCCAAGCAGTAGGAAGCGTAGCTTAGAGGATGGAGGGAGCACAGTTGATAGGCCACAAGATAAGATACAGCAGGCTGACAGTATCGAAGGAACTGTTGTTAACCGTGATGATGATGAAGTTGATGGAGGTACACATGAATCTGATGGTCCATCTAAACGTGCTCGTAGCCTTGAAGACTTCAATTCACAGGATTTATCACACAAGATGGACATTTCAGGTGCTGGACCCAGTCATGGTTATCTTGGTTTAACAATAAGTCGACTGAATTCCTTCAAAGATGGAAGTGACCTAGCTCTTGGTTATCCAGACACTAGAAATTCCACTCATGCATCATCTGTTGTTGCAATGGATACCATCTGTCATAGTGATGATGAAGACTCTATGGAAAGTGTTGAAAATTGTCCTGGAGATGTTGATTACATTAATTTTAATTACACAAATGGTGCATCAGAATTTGACAATAGTAATCTTGCCCAACAGAGCACCTGCATACCTCATGGTGCTGTAAGTGTTGCCAGAGAAATGAGAGGAAGCAGTACGATAGAAGGAGAAGAAGTACTGAATGCAGAAACTTTCACTGCAAGTGCTCGGGATATATTTAGTTTAGGGATCAGTGGAGGTAGTGTTGGTGTGGGTACTAGTCATGAAGCTGAAATTCATGGGATTGCTACTTCTCTGCCCCGAACTTATAGTGCTGTTGGTGAGGTAGGGATGATAGCAGAAGTAACTGAAAACATGGGCCAAAGTTGTGAATCTGCTCCAGGACCTGGATTAATGGATGAGTTTGTTCCTGATGATGTTCTTAGGGAGGATCCTCACAGTGATATGCAAGATATGATGTCTAGATCTTTAGGAAAGGCTGATAGTGGTTCAAAGGTTTATGGTTCCATTAAAGCTGACTCCATTGAAAGTGGAGAGAAGATGAGTCATACATTGGGTCATGAAAGCAGTGTCCATCCTTCGCTCTCTTGCAATGCAATGATATGTTCTGTTGATGAAATATCCAGGGGGGAGGTGATGCAGACTGGAAAAGAAACAATTACTTGTGATGGTGCTCTGGTTTCTGATAATGTCATTGGCGTTAGTTCAGGTAATGATTACTCACTCATTCCCAAGCATTGCATCAGCTTCTGAACTTGTTTTTTGGTCTTCTTGCATATAAATTAGTTTTCAGACTTATACCACCATGAGAGATCTGCCTCCTTAATCAAACTCTATTTGCATCAAATTAATGTTTCGGATGTTGGGTATTAAGTCTATTGACCGTAGCATTAAACAGATGCTTACGTTGTTTCACACTATTTCTTTCTTTTAACTTTTCTTTTGTTTTATGATATCTCATTTTTTATTAATTTAATTGTCAGATATAAAGTTTAATTTGACATAATTTACTTCTTCCCTTTTATAGTAATCTTCTTTATGCTAAATCTCTGCATTTCTACATTTCAGTTCAGTTAATTTGAAATGATTGCTCCTAAGCTATTTAGTTTTTTTATGCAGCTGCTGATTTAAGTGGTTTAGACTGTTTTGTTAGCCTTGAATTTGAACTTAGTGCGGCTGATGTTCACTCAGAGTCTTGGCACTTATTTATACTTAATTTCTCTTAGTTGGTGAAGATTCTCATGCTAGAATACTTTGGTTTGCTGAAATTCTCATTTATTTGTTAACGTCTACATTTAAATTATATCTAAGAAGTATTCCCGAGCATGAGAGTAGTTATCTATTAGTTGAATTGCATTCTGAGAGATCGGTTGGTCCAATTTTGCCTGTTTGTACAAGTCTCTGCCCTCATAGCATTAAAAAGTTCTTGTAATTTTTTCTTGAATTTCATTCTGCTTAAGTGTCGTTATTTCTTATGCTTCTTAATCTAATTCTTCTTTTTATGCATTCTGTTCCGTATCTCTCCATTTTTAGCTTGAAACATTTTTTTCAAGCTGCATTATTCTCTGTTGGTTGCACCAGTTAACTCTTTTTGTGACCATCATGGAAGATTAAGCAACAGTTGTAATTGTCATCGAAACACGGTGGATCCAACTCTATATTCATAATGGTGTTAATATTGCTAAAGGTTGGTGTAACCTTCCACTTCCTGTCCATCTGCCCCTGCCAATAACTGTTCCTACGTCAGAATGAATTTATAAAGAAAAAGGCTTAAATAATATTTCATATAGCGATTTGTTTATTGGGTTCGATAAAGTTTCTTTCCTAAATCTTGAGATATAGAAACAGAACTATGAATGCAGATGGCTGGTTAAACAAGTATAAATATTCATTTTACCATTATACTTATTTATGTTTATTTATTTGATGAAAAGATTGTCAAACCCTTCTCTTTGATTAACAAAGAATTTGCAAATCGAGTATAGGAAATTCGAACCCAAGAAAAGACACTGATGGATCATCGAAGTTGGGGAATTAAGAACTAGAAATCGCTGCTGTGGAGCGTCTGTGTAGCGCTCTGTATAACCGCGGAAACACGGGATCGCGAAACCGCTGGTTCTCAGCGGTTCACGGATCCATCCGCAGCACGGTAGGCATCCCGCATAGGATGCAATCCGGGATCAATTACAACATAATTTTTTTCCTTTTATATTTTTTCTTGATTTCCTATTTTCGAATTAGGCATTTCCTATTTGGAGACTTTTATATTTGTTGCATCGGACTGTTCTGGATTTCTGTTTTGTGATTTTATGTATTTTGGGTAAGTTTTCTCTGATTTATACCTTCGGAGTGCTGTAGCCTAATTCTTTAGCAAGTGGAGTGCCTATGCTTGCCAGGAACAGGTCGTGGATTCTCCTTGCCGACTGTACCTCGCTGTTTCGCCCTTGAACTGCTGTTTTCAGCCAAGCAGCCGCCGAACGACACCTACCCCCTTCTAGATGCCGTCAACCTCGCATATTTTTGTTCCCTGCCATTCCTCAATCACTTCCCCGCAAAATCCACTTCTAAAATACCTTCTAGAACGATATCAATCGCTCTTGAGAATTGGAAGCAAAATGATTGTCATCCATGAACCTTTTGATTTGGGACATTTCCTTGCTATTAGCATTATTGTTCCTGAAGTAAGCAAGATAGATAATGCTGAGCTAGAGATTCTTCTCTTACCATGCTAGATAAAATTTATCTTACATTCTCTATAGGAAATGACCTTGAGTGTAACCCATTTCCTATATTTGGCAGCTTTTGCCCTACTTATTTCCATCTCGTATCGAAATTTTTTTCTAGTAAACTGCTTATGCTTAGTTTTAATATGTGGTTTCTTGTCAGGTTATGTTTTTCTATCTGTTAATAGTGCCAATACTTATTTATAATTTGTATGCTTCATTTCTAATTTTAAATGCATGAGAATTTGTTCTTGATCTTGGGCAATATGCTTATTGCAGGGTCAGTCCTTGTAAATGTGTATTGAAATCATGAGTAACTGATCATTTTTTTTTCTTCCATAATAGCCTAAAACTCTTATGATTTCTGTTTTCCAGAACCTCAAAATGATGAGAATAACTACAGGCGAGAAGCTGGAGAATTTGATCCCATCAAATACCACAATATCTATTGCCCGTGGGTGAATGGAAATGTTGCAGCGGCTGGTTTTAGTGCTGATAGTGCCACCGACTCAAGTGGTACTGCAGCCCTTAGTGGTTGGCAACTCACATTAGACGCCCTTGATGCATTCCAGTCTCTTGGTCACATTCCTAATCAGATGATGCAATCTGAATCTGCAGCCTCTTTATATAAGGTTGAGTTAAATTTTCATTCTTAATCCTTTGAGGTGGTTCCAAAAATTTTAGTTAAAGTAAAGAAGTGGTATAAAGCTTGTTTTGCTCGTTCTCTGACTGAGTATTTATATACAAAATTATCTAGAAGATAATTCAAACTACTAATTACAAAGAACTTAAAAACCTTTTTATCTTTGTCGGTGGGAGAAGGGAGCAATTTGTGACTCTTTTCATGTTAAGCACATGAATCCATAGCACTTCTTTTTCCATATTAAGTACATGAATTCATGGTACTCATTTTTCTATGTTAAGCACATAAATTTGGATTATTTAATTCTTTTCTAGGAATCCTATTGCTTTCAACATTCCTCTCAATCTTAATGGTATAGCTCTATAATTTCTATATTAAGAACATTAACATTGCTTTGGATCTTTTTTAATGCAGATTTGTAAAATCCTTTGGTATATATGTTGATGAGTTGACTAATCCTTAAGGAGTGGAAATTATTCCACTTTTTAGTTTTAAGAAATGCTTATCCATTTCTGCATGTTCGATTTAACTATGTTGTACACTTGTTCTACATTGTGCCCAATATTTGATGGCAGATTTATTGGCGCAGTGTATCCTCATATTTATTGTCACAGTATATCCTCATATTTCCTTTTTCTTTAATTTCTAAATTTTCTAATATAATTTTTCATTGGAGTTAATGGATAGTTTGAGCAATCGTTTTGAGTTCAGATTTCCTCTTTGTATTGTCACAATATATCTAATATAATTTCTAAATCTTCTACTATAATCTTCTAACTTGAGACTATGCGTTGTTTCTTACTTATCTATGTTATTAGATTCCCTTTTTTATTGTTTAATATCTTGAAGTGGATCACCTATCTGCTGTTGATCCTACATAGTCAGCATCAATATGATTTTCGATTTGTAGGGTTTCATGTTTTCTATATAGGGTCCCTTTTTTTCAGGATTTGATTTTAGATACCTGAAGACTTTGTAAGCATCTTAAATGTGATATTTCTTTGATTATGCATAAATTAGCTTCTAAGATTTCCACCAAAAGCGACATTAAAATGGGTACAAGATTGATTTTTTTTTTTCACAACTATCTTTATTGTTGTCCAATGCTAACTTCTATTCCTTCTATATTTATGTCCAATTTTTGACCTGGTTAAGTTAAAGTTTCACAAGACTTACAATCTTTTTTTTTTCTTTTAATTATTGCTTTATTTTAAACTCTCGGCGAGTTTTTTTTTTAGTAATTCATTTTTTTAGTTGCCACCGTCTACATTAGTAATATCATCAATATGTACAATAATAATTGAAATTTTTTTTTTTGTCGTTGGAATGTTTTATGAAGAGTGTATGATCTCCTTATGTTTATTTATGTATCATTTCATTCATGACTTTTATAAAATTACCACATCACACCCTTCGATATTTTTTAAAATCATATAGTTGATTTTTTAGTTTACAAAGTCAAAGAGGAATATACCTTATAAATTCTATGTAAAGTGGCCAGAATAGATTTATTTCAAAATCATTCCCATATAACACAATCACACTCATAGTTTGGAAAACTGTATGCCCTAGCAACATGAGCATAATAAAAAGATGAACTAAATTGTCTTGACAACCCCATGAGTTGAGGCTGAGTGAAATAATTTTATATTATAAATATATGCGTGTGTGTGCATGCATGCAGAATATAAAACATATACATTTAATTATTGTACAATTATTGGCCGTATTTTCTATAGAAATTAGGGCAAATAATGTTTTATTGCAAGAACATCAAACACTCAAGACGAATACAAAGATAAGCACATACAATTCGAGAGGTAGGCAATCTCTCCCAATTTCGACAATTCGAGAGGTAAGAAATCTTCCTCAAATTCTAAATCTAGGATACAAGACCTATTCTCATGCATAGCCTAGCCTTAAAATAAATTAATCATATTTATACTAAACAATAATAAATGACAAATAACTAAACTGCGCTTAGTTTGATAAGATTAATTGTGCTTAGACACTTTCGTAAAATTACTCTTGTAAAAAGACACATTGTTCTCAAGGTGAAAAGAATATTAGTGTTGGATCAAGTCTTATGGCTCCCACGCAACACCATTGTTTGGTAATCCGTTCTATTTAATTTGAAATTTATAGTGACCCTCACCTTCTTGAAATGACGTCTTCTGCACATCCTTTGGTCATGTACTAATCTGATCGTACCTTGACTACAAGTCAATCCAGGAGAATACCACCACCCCAAACAACTCATCCAGTAGCTTATTGATCACCAGAATCTCTGTTAACTCTGTATCATGTCTCTTCCATGCGATGTGATATGTATTTTAGCATGCTTAATTTCCTTTACATTTAGCATATATTTTTGAATGAAATTACACTTTAAAGAAAGTTATTTTTCATGTTTATCTTGTAGGTATAATAGGTAGAACACTGGAGCGAAACATGATTGAAAAGGAGCAAAAAGGAGTTGAATGGAGTAAACTTGAATTTCACATAATTGGCGCTTAGGCTCCGGATTCTGGGCGCCAAGGCGCGGGATTCTAGGCACCAAGGCGCTCCATTCAAGCGTCTTGGCATTAGCTTTTGGGCGCCTAGGCGCCAGGACTCTGCGCATCCACCCGAGAAGGCGGTGCTTAGGCGCCAAGTTTTGGGCGCCAAGGCACAACCATTTTCTGCAATTGCTAAATTGTGATGTTGAGAGTTATTTGGTGGTTTTAAGCTGTTCGACGGAGGATTTATGAGAAGAATAAGAGAAGTGGAACGAAGGAGAAGCACCAGGGAGCAGGAGGAACATTTGGGAATCCAAGGCAAGTGTGGAGAAAGGCAAAGAAACTCTAGGGAGACTTAGGGTTTGTATATTTACCATATTTTCTTGAGTGTTCGGTGAGATTCTTGAGAGAATATTGTAAGGGTATCAATTCATCAGTGCAAGGAGGACTTGGATCCAGTGTTGGGAGGAACTTTTCATCTCTTAAGAGAAGAAAAACTAAGTATTGCTTTTACATTTGTCTTGTAATTGTTGTAACCATACTTGGTGGATTTATTTTGTTGTTTGATGAATGTTTTCATCATGTTCATTATGCCTAGTGAGTAGGTTTCTTTTATCTTTCTTTTGTGATGCATTTGTAGGATATGTAGGATGCAAAGATACTTATAGAATTGAATTTTTAATCTTTATGTGATGGTTTTTACTTTATGCTTAATTTACTAACTAATTTTGCCAATTGGTGTGTTAAAACTTGTTGCAAATCCATAAAGATCCGAGAGGACTATGACTTTATCAATTATGAAAAACCACATTGAACCTATGGGTGAAGGAAAAGTAGTCCATAAGACAATGCAATTAGATTGAGAGCTAAGATTTGAGGAAATTTAACTTAGGAATTTCTAGGGCGACAGGAAGAAACACTTATTAAGTTAATCCAAACTTTTTACACTCAGAAGAGGGTAACTTAGATTCATGCTCCTATTGTCACTAGCCACATTAGATTCTTAGTATTCTATCTTACATTTTCCGCTTATGCTCTCACAAGTGATTGGTATCTTTTATATCTTGATATCACAAAAACCAGTAAGAGTAGTTAGAATTAGCCTTTAAATTTAGTAAAATAATTTAGGAGTAACAGTTAGAAAGACCACTTTAAATTACATTCTAAACTAAGATCCTATCATAGTAAACTAGAACTTCCCTCATTAGAGCCATTACCACCTTCCGTGTGGGATTGATATCTGGATTCAATAGAGACATGTATTATTGAAACGATACGTATACTTGCGTGAGATGTTGCGGTAGTATAAATAAAATAATAGAACGATTGACAACGAAGCGAAAAATAGAACGAGAAAATTCATACCAGAAACAGTAACACAGCGGAACACATATTTACGTGGTTCGGCAAATTGCCTACGTCCACGGAGTTGCAGAGGATTTTTGATTTTACTTTTTGAGGAATTCACACCAGTCGATCGTCTCGGATTACAAGAGAGATCTCTCACTTTCTTGCTCTCTTCTTCTCTTTCTACACCTAGATACACCGAAGAAGATAAACTTACAAGAGAAATAAACTCAATTTCTCTTCTGCCACAAGTCACTAAGAGAAGCCAAGGGAGAACAATCTCCTCCTTTTTTCTTCTTTCTTCTGCCGCAAGGAACCACTGCCTGCACTTCTCTTCCCTTCCGTTACGAGCAGAGGAACACCAACTACACACACACTGCGAAGGAACTAAATGGGAGAGGCGGTTTTGCAATGAAGAGATGAAAACATTCATTCAGTTTTGCAAAACTAATAAGCAGGGCGAAGAGCGGGAGCGGGAGGCCGGAGCGACATTTTTGCGACAGAGGGAGTGATGTCGCCGATTCACGAAACGGGAAAGGAGCGGGAGGCAGAAGTCGCAAACCTGGCTCCATTTTTAATAAATCTCCCACTTGGAGACCGGTACACAGACAACATCTCCTTCCTCAAACTGATATCCTCCACTGGCAGTGTCACCATTTTCTTCAAACATGAATCATTCACCTCTGCAACTCAAAGTCCTTGTCTTCACACCAAAAGACCAACTGAAGCTGCGCACAACTTTAGGTTCTCAAGAGTAACACCCTTAGCCAACATATCAGCAGTGTCCACATAATCTTGCACCTCCAAGTTATTTCCTGTTACTTTTGTATCTGTTTGCAACTCCCACTGCATGTTTAATATCCTGTCTCTGCTGAAAGTCTTTTTCAACAAGTCTAGCATTGTACCTCTTACTGCCATCAAGCTAGATCTTCACCCGGTACACCCACTTGCTGTGTAATGCTTTCTTCCCTGGTTGAAGTTTTGTCAGCTCTCACTTGCTCAAATTTTCATCTTGCAAGATTTCTTCATATCTTTGTGCTTCTCTACCATATGTCTTTGGAACAATAAGAATGGATGCCCCAAACTCGCTCTCTACTAAATTCAACGCTTCTCAATCTGCCAAATATACTTTCTCAAAGTCACC